CCGGCCTGGTAACGCGGGGTGTGGGGCCCCACCTGCCCCAAACCCACCCCCCCCCAGCTCGTTCATGCCCCATCCCAGCTCCTGCCCATCACTGCTGTCGTCCCTTCGTCCTTCCTCCCGCTGCCTGCACTCCTCCCTGCCAGCAGCTCAGGGATCTTTTCCTTCCCTGCACCCTTGCGGACCGATCGCAGCCTCCCTCCCTCCTTCCCTCCCTCCTTGGGGCATCACGGTCCCCCCTTCCGTGGGCACAGCCCGGGGCACGCTCCAGCTCAGCGTTGGCAGAGGCTTTGCCCCCGCCACGCTCCAGTCCCCACGGGTGCAGCCCATGCCCTCGGTGCAGGGTCCAACGCTCCACCTGAATTGCTCAACCCCACAGGGAGGGATCCTGGCTGCCCCCGCAGCCCTCCTGAAGCCAAGAGCCATCGCAGCTCCGGTCGCCGTATCGGCGAGGCCCCGTGGACTGACGCACGGCTCACGGGATGCAGGGTTTTCTGTCCCCATCTCCAAGTGCCCATAAAGGTCCTGTGAGTCTTTCCCTGGAGGAAACACAGGCTGAAATGACTTTTTTTTTTAATAATACCTGACCCAAGCTGGCTGCCCGAGCCCTCCTTGAAAAATACGGTATTTAGGCACATCATTCTGGGCACAAAAAGCTGCAGTGGAAAAAAAGTCGCTGCATTCATCCTTCTCTGATTTCTTCCCCTCCTTGCACACAGTCCCCCCGTGCTTTGCTTTCCCTGCTGTCAGTGGACATAAGCTAATATGGAACAAGATATTCATGCAAAAAAGGCCTTTGGAAATATTCATTGCTCATCTCTTAACAAGATTACCCCTGAAATCCTCCATTGCTCTGAGGGAGATTTAAAACCTTTCAGGCTCTCGGTAACCATAGCAGCACAGATGTGAAAACTAAGGGGCGACAACTGATGTGAAAAATCATCGGGGATGTACAGACAGGCGGTGTGTGACTGCAGCACCAAGGCAGGGGGGTTTCTTCTCCGCAACACGTTCCTTTTTGGCTAGCACAGCCAGGGCTGGCTCTTCACCCTGGCCGGACCACGCAGGATGCATCCACTCTTTACAGAAGCGACTCAAACCACAGACAGTGGTAATGATGTGACCCAGTGCTGGCTCCCACGGCACCAGGGTCACCCTCCTGGCCACCAGATGTAATCAGACTTAGCACTTTTCATCTTCAAAGCACTTTGTAAACATTAACTCATTAATCCTTATGCCCCCTGTGAACTTGCGGCTCTTGCCCTGCAGGGTACCAGCAATAACAGGGATGGTTTAGAGCCAGGATGGAGTGCCTGGAGCCTGGGGTCCGCGTTCCCTCCTGCCATGGGATCCTTCTTCATCTTGGTCACCATTTCTGCACCTGTAAGAGAGACGCTGGGTGTTGTGAGGTTGAACAGATTCATGTTTTGAGGCCCTTTGGAATGAAATCCTGGGAAAGTGAGCAGTGGTGAGGGCATCGCACAGACCCCCCGGCACCTCCTGAGAGCTGGCTGAGCCCTGCGGAGCCGGCTGAGAGGAACTGTGGGAAACCTCTTTCATCTCCTCTCTTGAAAAACCCCTGCCACTACAGCTAGCTAAGCACAAAGAAACATTAACTAGATTCTTTTATAATGAAAAAAATGGGCTTTGGCTTTAAACAGCTTCCAAAACTGGGGTGAGATCGCTTGTCATGCCCTGCTTCCTCCCCATCTTTGGTTCTTCATTTCCACTGATGTCGAAGGCACAGCAGGCACCAAAATGCGATCACTGCTTCATTCACGTGCCTAAACCTGGCACCCTCTGCTCATCCACCCCTTCTCCTTGGTTTTGGCCCACCGAGGACCTATGGCCGTGCCATCACATCTTCTGTGTCCTCCGCTCCTTCTAACAACGCCTGCGGCTCAGCCCTTGGCCTCGCCTTTGGGCTCTCCTCATGGCGCAGTAAGGGCTTCACGTTGGCGAGTGATGGTGCATCGCCAGACGGCGCAAAACCCCGCCGGGTACCATGCCGTACTGGGTGTTTTTGGACACCAGTGCCATTGCCAGTCCTGTTAGGGACCCAACCTTCCCCCTCTCCCAGGGCAGGCTGAGCCGAGGACAGGACTCTGCTCACCCTGATGCAATCTCTTGGCTCTCCTGATAACAAGATCAGGTAGGGAA